ATGAAGAATTCAGTAGGGATTCCTCATCTCTCTAAATTTGGTTCCCTACTGAATTAAAAGAATTAAAAAGGAATGTTTTTGCTTTTCAAGCACAAAGTACATCGTGATTTACTCTGTAACCAAATCCCCACCGCATTCCAATCCTCCAACAATCCTTTCAATGAGAGAATTAGAGTTGGCGGTAACGTGTGCTTTCAACAGAACGATGATCCCAGAATCCACAGAATCGAACTATATCAGTAGATTGATAATAGGATAATAGATAATAGGATCTTAGCTCATTTTCTCTACAGATTTGGTTCCATTTCTCTATAGATCTTAGCTCATTTCTCTACAGATTTGGTTCCATTTCTCTGCAGATCTTAGCTCATTTTCTCTACAGATTTGGCTCCATTTCTCTACAGATCTTAGCTCGTTCTCTCTACAGATTTGACTCCATTTCTCTACAGATCTTAGCTCATTTCCTTTACAGATTTGGTTCCATTTGAAGAATGAAGAATTCAGTGCATTAAAAAGGAATGTTTTCGATTTTTAAGCACAAAGTACATCCGTTATTTACTCTGTAACTGAAGCTCAATGGAATAGGAAAAAAAGAGTGGACACTAATTGGAATCTGACCATTAAAATGCTATCTTTTCTAGATTCTTATGAATTATAATTCTTGTAGTAGGAGAAAAATGACTGAAGATCAGTAAATCAGAAGATTTTTCTCAATTTTCCAGTTTAATTGCTCAAATTTAGTGTATTTTCTTATGGATTGTAGCCAAAATACGAGAAAAATGGCTTAAGACTATCAAAAATTCGAGATTTTGCTTTGGAGATCCAACAAACAAACTCTGTCAATCGATTCCTCGACCTTGAAAACCCTTGGACACAAAGTTTTGGCTTCAAATCTCATCTGAGCAATGTTTAGAGAACCAAATAATCTTTAGAGAACAAATTCCTTTGTAAAGAGACTGCAAAATGTTCTTTGTACGGTCGAGGAATCGCTCGCCGTCTGGCGCAGGGCTTTTGCATTAGGGGGACCGTTTCCCGGTCATCCGTAGCTCTCCTCGTTTAGTTGGCCGATCAGTGGGGGTGGATTTTTGCCTATTTTCCCCCTTTTCCCCCCTTTCTTCACCCAATTAGGCCTCAATTTCTGCTTTAAATTTAGTTTTAGATTTGATAGTTTTACATTTAAATTCTGCTTCATATCAACCCATTATTGCTTTGTCTGCTTTGTCCGATTGTCGCTTGAATCCCCCAGCCGATGCAAGGCAAACTTGTAAATGTCAATTTATGTTAATGTTGATGTTTATTTTATTAAATTAATAAGATTAAATATTAAATATAATATTAAATTGATATTAAATAATGTTAAAGCCGCTAATTTATGAAACTGTTTATGAAAGTTTATGAAACTTGCTCCCAAATTATATCCGAGAAATTCAGTCGCTTTCCATTTTCAAGAAACAAATCGAGGCTCTAGATCTAATGGCTGTCTCGTGGGTAATCTGATTCATTGCATTTCCACTCTATCCTCTATACCTTTCTACCTTTCTACCTTTCTACCTTTCTACCTTGTCTACCTGTACCTTTCTTTTGTCTCTATATTTATTATAGTTTCACTTTATCATCTAAAGTACCATTATTAAATTTGTTTTCAAATAATTTCAAATAATTTCAAACAATTTCAAACAATTTCAAACAATTTCAAACAATTTTAAGTTTTTATAAAAGTTTTAAGCAATATTAAGCATGAATTGTGTCAGAAAAGTTTCATTTACGAAAAAATGATCGAAATTCTAGAGATTACTAATGTTTTTTTGTTCATAACTACAAGAAACTACAAGAAATTCAATAACTACAAGAAAAATGAGAAAAAAAAAATGCTTTATTTGATCTTTGCTTTATTTTCGGGAGTTTTTGTTCATTTTTTTGGTTTTTTCAAGGGAACACCTAGCAACGGGTCGCCTTTTTGGCAACATTTTTGGTCAAATAAACATCAAGATTTTCACCGCAAATCAGAAATCTCTTCAGAGTGGGCTTTTTTTTGTGGGTTTTTATTTGAAATTCGTTAATTTACAATAGCTTTTCAATAATTAATGTCTCTCAATATAGCAAAGTTGTCATTTCTTTTCTTTCTTTTCTTTCTTTCTTTTCTTTCTTTCTTTTCTTTCTAAGCTAAACTCGAGGCTTTTGGCGACTGCCTAGTGGCTCTTTTATCTTGCATCCCGAATCTGCTTTCTCTAAATCCTCTAGAGCTTTTTTTGTAAATCGTGTGATTAAAGTTTTGAATGCCCTTCCCGACAAGTTGCGTTTGATCGCCACCGTGTCTGATTTTAAAAGGGCTACTTCGTTGCATTTTAAGCGACTTCGTGATCTTCTTTTATCTGCTACATTTTTCGTTTGCGTCGTTTTTGCACTTTATTTCTTTCTAAATAAAGTATTTATATATATGTCGTAGCCGATGAAGGATTTCAGCCGAAGAAGTCTCAGACTTAAAGAAGGTTTCGCTAGCGAAAAAATTTGAGACTTCATCGGCTAGCCGAAGAAGTCTGAGACTTCTTCGGCTGAGTCATCGGCTAGCCGAAGAAGTCTCAGACTCGGCCGAAGAAGTCTCAGACTCAGCCGAAGAAGTCTCAGACTCAGCCGAAGAAGTCTCAGACTCAGCCGAAGAAGTCTCAGACTCAGCCGAAGAAGTCTCAGACTTCTTCGGCTAGCCGATGAAGTCTCAAATTTTTTCGCTAGCGAAACCTTCTTTAAGTCTGAGACTTCTTCGGCTGAAATCCTTCATCGGCTACGACATATACATTATATATTCGATCAAAAATTTCATCATTCAAATCCCATTTTTTTTTGTAAAAACTCATCAAAATAAACAAATATTACATTTTTAATTTAATAAATAAATAAATTAATGATTGAATGAATGAATGAATGAATAAATAAATTAATTAATTAATTAATAAAAAAACTAAATCACAAAATGAATTTCTTAAATAATTAAAGGAAAAAAAAGGGAAAATTGGTTACTTTAGTAAGAATTTCGCAATATGAAAAAGCTCAAAAAAGGGAAAAGCTCAAAAAAGGCCAAATGTATTTCTTCATCTTCTCCCTCTTTTCCCTAGTGAAGCCTTCAGAATCTTTTTTTTTTCTGTCGAGAAAGAATTCTTCGGATAAACAAGAGGAAAATTTTGGGCGGGACTTATTTTTTTCAGCTGGAATGGGTGAATTCGCTTTTTTTTCGCTGAATATTCGCTCCTTTATCATAAAGGGAGCCTTTTCTTATCCATTTCCTCTAAAAACTCTTTGTTTCTTTTTAAATCAACGCATTAAATTGTAGAACATTTAACCCAATTATGTTCGTGAGATTCCCATCTTGATATTCTCATTTAAAGCTGCAATTCCTCTAAAAGCTCTAAAAGCTCTCAAAGTTTCTTTTTTGAATCGAGTTATTAAATTGTAGAACATTTTACCCGATCATGTTCTTGCCATCATGTTCTTGCCAATGCTAAAACACTAGGACCAGGCCCAAGCTGGGAATAAGAGCTTTTTCTGAGCTAGGCCTTCAGTAAAACCAATTCGGATCAAGATCTGGCTTCTGGCTGGCCCAAAATATTGGTTTAAACAACCCTGGACCAGGATCGGACTAAGCCTTCTACTGTTCGTGATATTCCCAACTTTGAATTCGGCTCTCTACAAGGCCTCTACGGGGCCTCTAAGGGGCCTCTACAAGGCCTCTACTGGGCCTCTAAGGGGCCTCTACAAGGCCTCTACTGGGCCAGAAGAAGGCCTAATACTCCAACGTTCCATTTCCTCTAAAAGCCCCCACAGTTTCTTTTTCTTTTAAATTCTGGAACATTTAACCCACTCATGTTCATGAAATTCCCCAACTTGGCTAGATTTAAAGCTGCAATTCCTCTAAAAGCTCTTAGTTTCTTTTTAAATCAACGTATTAAATTGTAGAACATTTTACCCAATTATGTTCGTGATATTCCCATCTTGATATTCTCATTTAAAGCCGCAATTCCTCTAAAAGCTCTAAAAGCTCTTAGTTTCTTTTTTAATCGAGTTATTAAATTATAGAACATTTTACCCGATCATCTTCTTGCCTAGATTTAAAACCGCAATTTTGGCAATTGATTTGACTGCTTTGTGATTCTTTCTTGAGGGATTTTTTTATCTTTTTTTATCTTTTTTTGGTGTCTTTTGAGTGGTGTCCTGGGTGATTATTGGGTACTGTTATACGTCCACAGAGAATCTGTTATACGTCCACAGAGAATCTGTTATACGTCCACAGAGAATCTGTTATAAGTCCACAGAGAATTTAGCCTATCCCTGTTTTCGTTAAAGAAAGCCAGCTAATCGCTCGCTTGTTTAATTTTTCTTTAGCAAAAAAACAAGCACTTCTTCTTTTCCATTTCCCAAAATGAAATCGAATATTTCTATTTTGTTTCTTTATCAAAACCAACCATTTTTCCATATAAAATTTGTTCTTTTCTATTGAAAAAAGCTGATTTAAGTTAAAAAAAAAGGCTTTAATTTTATAGAAATTCAAAAATATGCTCAAAAATTTGGAAACACATCCTTTCTAGTGCACTCGATCTTCAGTTTTCTTGTTTTTGATTTAAAGAAAATGAAGAATTACACTAGAAGAAGGACACTAAAAGGTCTGTGTTTGCTAAGAGTAGAAAGTACAAGTTTCGATTCAATCTTTCTTTTTAACTTTTCTTATCGTTTTCTAATTTTCTTTCTTTTTTTTTCTTTCTTTTGCTTTCTTTCTTTCTTCCTTCCTTCCTTCCTTCTTCCCCTTATCTTTCCTTATTTCTTTTGGCAGTTGAAGGTGCCGGATAGCTCAGTAGTTAGAGCAATTGCGGTAACATTGCTTCCGATCTGGCCAAGTTCTAGATTAGCTAGTGCTTTTACTAAACAAATCCTCTTCCTTTCTTTCTTTCTTTCTTTCCTTCTTTCTTTTGCTTTCTTTCTTTGTATAATAACTATGTTTGTGATTTTCAGTGATGAATGAAGATGAGCTGAACGGGAATCTCGGAATGGGCAGTAGTGGTGAGTTTATTGATTCCAAAAAAAAAGATAAAAATTGGTTATGATTCATCAAATGATTTTAAAATCATCATTTTTTTTTATCAAGAAATATCTTTATCGAGCTTTTGTAGGTTTGGTTTTGAAATAAATGAGAATTTAAATGGGGAAATTGTTTCATCCGAATGGGGTAAACGAATGGGGTAAAGGATGGGTTTTGAGGAGAGGAGTTAACTGGGGAAATTCATGCAGTTTATGCTTTGAAACGTGCACTTTCTAGTGCAGTTTCTAGTTTCTATTAAACTCGAAATTTAAACTCGAATTTCTATGAAAAGTTAAGCTAAAAGCAGCCAAACGTTTATCACCTGAATCTCATTAGATCAAAAAGGCTTATTAGATCAAAAGTTTTCAGCGTTTATCCTCACTCTAGAAGGGCTACAATAACTTTTAGAAGTTATTAAGCTCCTACAAATCTTACTCTTATCTTAAATCTTCAAAGCCTTCCCGATCATCACTTATCAATCTCTAAATCGCTTCCACAATCTCTTCTCCACTTTCAAATAAGCCTTATCGAAAACGATTGTCGCGCCGACTCGCGCCAACTCTTTTCCTCAATTGAATCCCTATCGTCATCGTACTTTGATCCATTTTATTTGAAAAACGTTGAATTTAAGGGGTTCTTAGCCCACCAACGTACTAACGTAGCCCAGCTCTAGCCGTAGCCCAGCTCTAGCCGTTTCCGTACTACTAAGACTTTCAATTTACTTTCATTCAATACAAAATTTAATTTCGATTCAAACGAGCGTAAATTCAACGCTTTTGAAACAAATGCAAGATACAAGCAAACTACTGAAAGGGTTTCGATTTCAGTTTGCTATAGTAGCTGATGACTCACTAGATCTTATCCAAAAGCTGTTGAGTCATCAAAGAAATAGTTGAGAAATGATTTAGACCGATTCCTGTTGATGTTTATCTCAAAAAAGAGAGCTTTTTCCCTCTTTTTCTCCGAACACCGGGAAGTATTGACTGGTTTTTTTTCCTTTTTCTTTCTTTTTTCTTTCTTTTTCCATCTCCTATGGGAATCTCTCTCAAAAATTGACGTCAATTTCTCTAAATCTCTTAAAAGAAATAGAAATAAAAGACAATATCTACTTCTAAATATAGAATTTCTTCGGGAAATCCCATTTTTTCATGAGTCATCTTTTTTTTTTCTTCAATTTTTCCATCTTTTGATCAAAGTTTATTTGTTAGGAAATGTTTTAAAGAAAAAAAAAATACATAAGCTAATGATTTCATCAGATAGAAAGAGGAAAATTACAGAGTTTTCATCATTTTGAGCTCATCACCAATCCAGCATTGGTCACAAATTTCACAGAATTTTTCATTTTTGAGGAAACTTTTGAAACTGAAAAGTTCTCGAATTAAATACGAGATAAGGTTCCTATTTATAATAAAATAATGTAAGGAATGGCAAAAAGAAAAGATTTCCGGAGAGGTGATTGAACCCTCGACCTTTTTGCTTTCCGGGCGAATGCTCTAACCTGTCTTGAGCTATTGGGAGTCTTGTTGACAAAGAAGAAAGAGGAAATAGAAGGGGGAAGAGAAAGGAAGAGAGAGAGGAAGGAAGAAAGAGAGAAAAGTAGCAATTTCTTTTTTTCCAGACTTCGATCAGAACAAATTCCATCAAGTGACCGTCAGCGATCCGCACGCTCGCTCGTCTTCAGCTTTCACTGTTCCCCGCCGATATGTTGATCTCAAATTTCTCAACGCTGGCGCTCAAGGGACAGTTGTGTAGGTTTTATGGGTTAAATTAGTAAACATACCCTTTCTGGCTCACTGGATTGGCTCCAGTGCATTAGAAAGGATGCGTTTACGTTTCTTAGCTCAAAGTACGCCTCGGGCTTTGCGGAAACACATCCTTTCTGGCTCACTGGATTGGCTCCAGTGCATTAGAAAGGATGCGTTTACATTCCTGAGCTCAAAGTACGCCTCGGGCTTTGCGGAAACACATCCTTTCTGGCTCACTGGATTGGCTCCAGTGCATTAGAAAGGATGCGTTTACATTCCTGAGCTCAAAGTACGCCTTGGGCTTTGTGAAACACATCCTTTCTGGCTCACTGGATTGGCTCCAGTGCATTAGAAAGGATGCGTTTACGTTTCTTAGCTCAAAGTACGCTGCGGAGTTTACGGAAACACATCCTTTCTGGCTCAATGGATTCCTGTTTATCAGAAAGGATGCGTTTACATTCCTGAGCTCAAAGTACGCCTTGGGCTTTGTGAAACACATCCTTTCTAGCTCACTAAATTCCTAATTAACTTAAAGAATTCAGTGCACCAGAAAGGGTTTGTTTAGAAGAGAATTAAAAAAATAAACACTTTAAACCCTTTTCAGATCAGCTAAAGATACATTGACTGGCCAAAAAGTGGCTATAAAAAAGATGCAACAGCCATTTGTGATGACGATGAGTGCAAAGAGAGCCTATCGAGAATTCGTCCTTCTCACATCGATTCAACACCCAAATGTGAGCAAAATAAGTGTCAAATCGAATACCAAAGTACCCCAGAATTACGCGATTTTCATTCTAACAGCCCTCGAAGTTGTTCAATCAATTTTCGATTAAGAAATTGTTTTTTTGGTCGACTCCTGGCTACTGGGTTTTCCCTGTTATTTCCTGAAAACAAATCAATTCTTTACTCAACTACGATTCTTTACATTTATTTTTTTTTGATTTTAATATTTAATCGGTTGAATTCGCTTTATTTTAACTTTACAAAAAGTATAATGAAAGCTTTTAATTTGATAACAGCCGTCCAGTATGTCAATTTTTTTTTTCCTTAGATTTAGCTGTATTGCCTTAGATTTTTGCCAATTTAGCTGTATTTTTGAACAATTCTTAGAGACATAGAGAGCAGAAAACTCTCGTTTACAATGATATCTTTTCATAAAAAAAAAAACAAACAAAACAACAAAGCTTAGGGCATGATAAAGACTGCTTTTTGAGCTTTAATTTGTCCTTAAACTTGAACGGCTAGTATTTCAGATAATTCGTCTTCTCAACGCTTTCACTCCACAAACGGATGTCGCAAATTTTCGTGAAGTTTATTTAGTGATGGAGTTGATGAGTCACAATTTGCATGAGGTAGGTGAATGCTTCGGGGATACTGTAGCAAGAAACTAGTATACTGTACTGTACTGTATACTGTACTGTACTGTATACTGTACTGTACTGTATACTGTACTGTACTGTATACTGTACTGTACTGTATACTGTACTGTACTGTATACTGTACTGTACTGTATACTGTACTGTACTGTATACTGTACTGTACTGTATACTGTACTGTACTGTATACTGTACTGTGCTGTATACTATACTGTGCTGTATACTGTACTGTACTGTATACTGTACTGTACTGTATACTGTACTGTACTGTATACTGTACTGTACTGTATACTGTACTGTACTGTATACTGTACTGTACTGTATACTGTACTGTACTGTATACTGTACTGTATACTGTACTGTCTACAAACGACAGACGCTCTCTACAATATTATAAAGTATTCAAGCAACAAAATTGAGCAAATTTTAAGCTGCAGAACATTTTATTGAGATAAACGATCAATTTTACAGTAATTTTAAGCTCTCGAGAAGTGAATAGATGATTAAAACTCTTGATTTTCAAATCAAATACTTAGATTAATCAATTTTCATTTGTACAGTAAACTTTAGTAATATTTATTCAACTTTTCAGGTGATTTCTCGACTCAGACTTGACCATCGAACTCTTTCCTTTTTCGTCTATCAAATGTTGTGCGCTATTCGACATTTACATCAATCCGGAATCATTCATAGGGTTTGTCAGAAAGAAAGAAAGGAAGAAAGAAAGGAAGAAAGGAAGGAAGAGTAAAAATAACAGAAAATCGAAGCCTTTTAGGATTTAAAACCATCAAATATTGTGGTAAATGATGAGTGCGTCTTGAAAGTATTGGATTTTGGATTGGCGAGGAAACAAACGGTGGATACGGCGATGCGAATGAGTGATTATGTGGTCACAAGGTCGGTTTCAATCTAAAAATAACATATAGTTGTGCATTTAAAATAGAAAAACTAAGAATTTGAAATTTTGGACTAGGTGGGTTGAACTGGGCAAAGTGTAGGCTGGAGACAAGCGATCTAGGTGGTCTAGTGGTTAGCGCGCGCGTCTGCTGGGCGGATGCCACTTTGGACCCCGAGGGTCCTTTCCATGTTTTTTAAAGTTTTATTGTTTCCTATTAATTTGAAAATATCATATAGTTGTGCATTTAAAAAAGAAAAACTAAGAAATTGAAAATTGAGTGGGACTAGGTGGGTTGAACTGGGGATTGTGGAGACAAGCGAATTTCGACTGCGCCTAAAGCGACTGCGCCTAAAGCGACTGCGCCTAAAGCGACTGCGCCTAAAGCGACTGCGCCTAAAGCGACTGCGCCTAAAGCGACTGCGCCTAAAGCGACTGCGCCTAAAGCGACTGCGCCTAAAGCGACTGCGCCTAAAGCGACTGCGCCTAAAGCGACTGCGCCTAAAGCGACAGCTGATCTGGCAAGAAAAAACCGATTTTAATCTAGATTTTACTTTAAGAATTAAACTTTTTATGTAAATTTTTATGAAAAATGATTTTAGTAGCCATTTGGAATCAATTAAAAACCAATTTTCAATCAAAAGTTATCCAAAAAGTTAAGGATATTTATAAATAATACTTTATTTATAAAGAAAACGATTTATTTATCTTCTAGAGTTTAATATAATCTTAAAATTAACTAATTTTGAATCTTTTAGATATTATCGAGCTCCAGAAGTGATTCTTGGAATGGGATATTCGGAGAAAGTCGATATTTGGTCTGTTGGTTGTATCTTTGCTGAGATGATCAAACATCAAGTGAGAGAATTTCTTTATTCCAGAATGGCAATAATATTGGCAATGATATTGGCAATAATATTGGCAATATTATTGCCATTGCCAATATCATTGCAAATATTATTGCCAATATCATTGCCAATCTTTCTTCCATAACAAAAAAAGTTGAACAAGTCAAGCGAACTAAACGGTAAATCGACCTTTAGCCACGGTGTTTCCAATTTAACTGTAACATTTAAAGAGATCTTTCACCCCATGTTTTCCCCCAATAACTCTTGAGCTCAAGGTTTTCGATTTTTTCTGACTTTTTGTTGATTTTGTCTGACTTTTTGTTGATTTTGTCTGACTTTCTTGTCCCAAATCAATCGTTTGACTTCAACGAGTGAATAGATTTCGATAATTTTGTTAAAGAAAAACAATTTCTTAACGGGAATTGAAAGAAATTGAAGAAATTGAAGAAATGAAAGAAGAGAAATGACAGAAAGTGACGGAAAAGTCGCGACCAAATATTTTCGCATACATTCCTTTGAGAACTTTGGCGCTAGATTCCCCGACTAGCTGACATTTCAGGCTTTCAAATGAACTCTCACACAATAGGGTAATATTGTAAGAATGCATAGATATCGATGATTTTTGAGAGGTCGAAAGTGGCGATTTGTCGTTAAGCATCTAGGAACAAGGAAACTTAGCTGGTACTTTGATCAGCTTTTCAACCCAATGTCATTGTCATAGCCGGGTATGCTAGAACATGCTCACGGTTATTGTGATGGCTTCATCCGTGAAATTCGCGGCACGCTTCTACACTTCTACTCTTGCTCCAGCTATATGTAACATAAAAGAATAAGGCTCATAGAAATATAGATTTGTCCAACCAGGTTCAACTAGCTAACGTTTCAAGCTTTCAAATGAACTCTCACACAATAGGGTAATATTGTAATATTGTATAGATATCGATGATTTTTGAGAGGTCAAAAATGGCGATTTATCGTTAAGCATCTAGGAACAAGGAAACTTAGCTGGTACTTTGATTAGCTGATAGGCTATTCTGGTACTTTGATTAGCTGATAGGCTATTCTGGTACTTTGATTAGCTGATAGGCTATTCTGGTACTTTGATTAGCTGATAGGCTATTCTGGTACTTTGATCAGCTGATAGACTATTTGGGAACTCTTTTCTTTCATTTAGACTTTAAGAATTCTCAATTATATATCGAAGAATTTGAATATTACGTTTATTCCCGTCTTTTTAGGTTTTATTCCCGGGTCGTGACCGAATCGATCAATGGACGTCGATCACGAAAGTTTTGGGCGCGCCGAGTGACAGCTTCATCAATCGGCTAGGACAATCGGCGGCTCTGTAAGGGAAATTCTTAAAGAAACAGTACAGAAACAGACTTTTACTGGATATTGTTTACCTTTTTCATCTTTCATACAATAAAAAGTACACTGAGAAGACAGAAACTCTTTTGTCTCTGAACAGAATCTCTTTCAAGTTTTGTCAAACGTTTAGTTTTAGTAGCTTGATGCTAAGAGTACTGTAATAACTTTAAAAAAGAAAACTTTACTTAACTAAATAATGTATTTTTAATAAATATCGATTCAGCTAACATATTTCTATAATATTTATTTAGCTATGTGCGAACTCAGCCACAATATCCGGGCCAAAGCGTTGAAGAGATCATTCCGGATGGGGATTTCTTGGCGAACACAGAGAATTCGGGCGCGAATTTGACTGGTAAACTATTTGGCTATTTAGCTATTTAGCTAGAACATGCTCACGGTTATTGTGAGGTCTTCATCCGTGAAATCCGCGGCACTACACTTCTACTCTTGCAACTCTTACTCCAGCTATGTGTAACATAAAGTAACTAGAATAAGGCTGATAATTTAGAGCAAAAACTACTATAAACTAGCTTCACGATAGGAATTTTCAAACGAAAAATAGCAATTATTGTGCTAGACTCGTTTAAAAACGGAAAGAGATGAGAAATTTCTAATTTCGATGTTGCAAAGTATCTAATTGGAAAATTTAAATCCTTTTTTCCAAGCTATATTTATGATAGTTCTCGTAATCAATTTTTAGGAGGACAATTTGAATAAAGAGCTAGTAATATTACCAAACATTTGATTTATAAATCGAATTTCTAGCGGCGGCCGCTCGTGATCTTCTCGCGCACATGTTGACAATTGATCCGAATGATCGATACTCTGTCGAAGCCGCGCTCAATCATCCATATGTGAAATTGTGGTTTAAGGTTTGAATAAAGGTTAAAACATACAAAAAGTAGGGTACTTTCAAATGAATTGTAGCATAATTAGAGTCTAGAATGTTAGATTGAAGTTCTCAGTTCTCAAAGAAAGTTCTCGGAAAGAGTTTATCTAGAATTTCTTCTCTCTAGAATTTCTTCTCTCTAGAATTTCTAGAATTTAAAAACGAATCCACGAATTCAAGAATATTTTATTCTATTATTTACAAGTTGACTCGAAGAAATTACTCGAGAAATGAGACGAAAAAATTCTTGAAATCCTTGAAATCCTTTAATCCTTTAACTTACTTTGTAGCTTCTCTTGCCATCGCATTTCCTCATACAATTCTTCCCATTGCTCGAAGAAATCGGTTACTTTTTGAGCCCTGGAAATAGCGTTTTGAGCGTCTTTCTTTTCGATAAAGATTCTTGAGTTCTATTAGGTTGGAAAGAAAGAAAGTTCTCAGAAAGAGTTTGTCTAGAGTTTCTTAAAAACGAATCCACGAATTGGAGAAGATTTTCTTCTATTATTTAGAAGTTAGAAGCTTACGTAGTATGAAAGGCTTGGTTTTTGAGAAATTCTAGACAAAATTTTTCCGAGAACTTTCTTGCCAACCTAATAAAAAGAATGACAGAAAGCACAGCAGAATTTGATTGAAAAGCAAGCCTTTCTGTGTCTTATAATCAGTCATTTGTTCTTACAGTAACCAAATAAAACGGATTAGATCTGTCTTTCTTCTCTTTCTTCCTTTCTTTCTCTTCCTTCTCTTCCTTCATTTCTTTCCTTCTTTTTCTTCCTTTCTTTCTCTTCATTGTCTTCCTTCATTTCGTCCTCTTTCTTCCTTTCTTTCTCTTCCTTGTCTTTCTTATTTCTTCTCGACTAAAGAAGGCGCTGATGGCTCAGTAGTAGAGCATCAGCATCAATAAGCAAAAGGTCTAGTGTTCAATCTCCCACATTTTTCCCCATTCAAATCTTTTCAGGAAGATGAGGTAAACGCACTTCCATCCGAGAATCGATATCGAGCAGAATACGATCGAGATGATAAACAATTGAGTGAATGGAAAGGTGAGAGGAGGGAAAAGTTCAGAGTAAAGGGGAATGGCTAACATTAAAACTAGATAATTGTAAGGTTAAAGTAGTTCAGAATTGACACATTTTGATAGAGAGAGGAACACAAAGAAGACTTTCATTCCGTATTTACAATTACAAAAGTTCATTGAGTACTTTGTTCTCAAAAAAAGTGCATAGTTTATGTACTTTTTGTGTACTTTTTTGCTTAAATCTTCAAACAATAAAATAAAAAAAAAGCGAGTGAAATTTCAAAAGGTTTAAAACTTTAAAAAGAGTAAAGGGAAATGGAATTATATCTAGATTATTTAATAAAATTGTAAGATTACAGTAGTTGAGAGAGTTGATATTGATAAAAGCACAAGAATACTTAATCTATTGGGTTGGTGAATTGAAAACTGGCGGACTTTGAACTAAAATTTATTCAACGTAAAACCATGAATTCATTCGAAATAATTTCCATTATTATTGACGACTTCTGCCCATTTTACAGGCAATTTGCAGATTCCTCTTTCGTGGTAGGATTTTGGTTTGTGGGTGAGACAAGTGTGAGACTCAAAAATGGAGGACTGGAGATGTCCTAGTTTGAGCACTTTCTTCAAAAGAAACCCATTTTAGTGTCAATAGAAAAGTTGTAGAGAATCAAAAATTAGGCTTATAGCCAAATTTCCAAAAAGATACACTTCGTAGTTTGGCTTAAAATGCAAGTTTTGTGAAAATTCGTAAATTTTAGCATTTCTTGAAAACCAGTTTTTGAATCGTTCTGAAAATTTGGATATAAGCTTGATTTTTGATTCTCTACAACTTTCCCATTGACACCAAAATGGGTTTCTTTTGAAGAAAGTGCTTAAACCGGGAGATATGACAATAGCCGGCGGTTTTCAATTCACCAACCCAATAGATTGAGATTAGCCTTGATTTGTGGAGAAGTCAATGTTCAATTCGAGGATTCGGAGCCCGCCAGATTAGTTTGGAAAAGGGAGAGGGAAGGGGGTTATGTAAAAGCCCTGCGCCAGACGACGAGCGATTACGCGGTCGCACATAGAACACATAGAACACACAAATTTTAAGCGAAACTATTTACTATTTACTAAGCGAAATACTAAGTGTATCTTTTTGGAAATTTGGATATAAGCTTGATTTTTGATTCTCTACAACTTTCCCATTGACACCAAAATGGGTTTCATTTGAAGAAAGTGCTCAAACTGTCACATATGCCACAATAGCCGGCAGTTTTCAATTCACCAAACCCAATAGAATTGCCATAGCTTTGTACTTTGTGCAATGTTCAAATATCTACTGAATCCCAATCAAATTTCATCAGCTTTAGCACGTTAAAAAGGGAAATGTTTCAGCTCTAATCTTCAACGAAGTGATGCAATATCAGAATACGCACGATATTTTTCAAGGAACTGGTTGAAACAAAAAGGAAAAAAAAGGCCTCTTTTACCCAACTTTAGCTTCATTTTTACGATAAATCTATAAAATTTCTATTTAAGAACTCAATTTTTGCGTACAATCTTTCATTTTTTAAAGTATTTTATATAAAAAAAGCCTTTTAATCAGTTAAAACAAAGCCCTCGATAGTGCCTCAAAAAGGAAAATCTTTTATTTTGTATTTTCTCTGAAAAAGACTGGTCTTTTTTTGTGAATTTCTTGTAAATATCAATAAAAGTACTGTAGTTTTCATAATATTTTAAAAAATTTTAGTCTTTTTTATAGAAAACTTTTTGATTTTCTCTGTGATTTCGTTGTTGACGCGTGTAAAAAAAAAAGAAACTATTTTTTGAGTGTTTAAAGGAGTTTTTTTCAATAAAGATTATGATAAATATTATCAAAAGCTTATCACAAAAGATTTTCGTTTCAAGAAAATTGAGAACCGACCGGAATGGAATCGAATGGATCTATCAATTGGACTACCGATGTGCCCAGCCTCATAGTGATGGCGGCTTTACGCTGACAGTGAATGCTGTTGAATGTTGAATATTATATTCAACTCGATACGACCGATCTGATGCAGTTCCTATTGCAGCAAACGAATTCAGAACATATAGATACAGCAAAACTGTGGGACATTATTGACACTATTGGCAAACACTCGCAAGGATTAGTTACATGGGAATGCTTGGAAAAGATGAAAGTTCGCTCGATACGTTACCTAGCCCCTCTTTATAAGTCTTTCCTAAAAATTTTTGATAATCTTCTCGTGAAGGGGCCGCCGAACTGGCATCCGAAGGCAGAGTTCTGTTTGTGTTATTGTGGATTTTTGGAAGACGAAGAAAAGAGTTTCCACGCATTCTCGCAGATGATTGGATGGGAAGAGGGATTCAGGTAGGCACAGTTTTCAATTTTCAGCTACGGGCTCTGGTTGGGTGTATACTTTGCGCTCAGAGACTCAAAATTGTGACCAATCAAAGATATTTGATCACTATCTTCTAAGAAATCAGCAAACCAGATCCCTCTTGTTTACGTGTAAATTTGCAAGTCGAGTTTTTGACTCGAAAGATTTCAAATAAGAATTTTATTTCTTTCAGAGAATCTCAACAAAAGGAGCTTCGAACCCGTTATTCAGTGAGAGCCGACCGGAATGGAATCGAATGGATCTATCAATTGGACTACCGATGTACTCAGCATCATAGTTATGGCGACTTTACGCTGACAGTGACCAAAAGCGCTGTTGAATGTTGAATATTACAAGTTGTTATCTTTACTGTTGTCTAATCTTTGTTTTCAAAACTTTGCTTTCGATTTTCGCTGTGATTTCTCTGTTGACGCGTGTAAAATGAAAAAGAAACAATTTTTGAGTGTTTAAAGGAGTTTTTTCAATAAAGATTATGCTAAATATAATCAAATGCTTATCATAAAATATATTTGTTTTAAGAAAATTAAAGAATGCTTTAGAAAAAGCCAAAAAAACGGTGTTTATAGCAAGGTTCTTTCGTTCTTTCGCCTTTACCAATTTTTGACGTAAAAATGATCCGATTGAGTGACAATAATGATTAGGTTTATTCAACAAGATGCTGCTCTATCTCAAAAGGCTCTTGATACAAAAGATTTGATCTCCAACAACTCCCTAGCTTGCATCAAATCCGTCAACAATGCCCAGGCGAATGGCCATCAAACTTGCCCGCTCTCAATCCCATAGATTACTCAATATGGTCGATTCTTGAAAGCAATCTTCTTATGCTAAAGCCAACAAATAAATTGACTTCTTGAGACAAGATTTAATCAATGCATGGAACGAAATCTCTATCAGCACTATTGAAAAAGTCATTGATGATTTGCCAAAGCGCTTATGGTGGTCATTTTGAATGACAATAATGATTGGGTTTATTCAACAAGACGCTGATGGTTTCAACAAGATCTCACAAGACTTTTGATAGAAGATTTGATCTCCAACAACTCCCTAGCTTGCATCAAATCAGTCAACAACGCCCAGGAGAATGGCCATCAAACTTGCCCGCTCTCAATCCCATAGATTACTCAATATGGTCGATTCTTGAAAGCAATCTGATGATTTCAACAAGATCTCACAAGACTTATATCATCAAAATCTTATCACAAAATATTTTCGTTTCAAGAAAATTCAAGAATTCTTAAGAAAAAGATATAAAAATCTTTATAACAAATTACTGTGCCTTCTTTTGTCTTTACCAACTTTAAACTTTATTTTTATTAAACTTATGATAGCCAAATGACATGAGCCATATACTATTTGACGCAGAATTTTGTGCTCTTTCTGAATCTGCTTTCCGTTTTTGCTAAATAGCACTCTGTCAAAAGTTATAAGCGCTCAAGCATTTTTCGAGGCTTTTCACGTAAAAATGAGTCGGATTCGTTAAAGAATGACTGACAAACGGCCAAAATTGTTTCACCTTTGTGCTGACTTGATCGCCAGCCGTTTTGCACACAAGAACGGTAAAAATATGATAGAAATGATGAGGATTTCAATAAAATAATGTTCTAAAAGCCGGTCTTCTTTGATTATTTGTGCGTGGAGGGGAAAGTCCATTGATTAGCGTCAATTTCGGAGTGATTTTCTTGCTAGTGCCTGGAAAAGTCCCCATTTGTTCAAAAAAATCAAAAGCTCACTTTCCAAATGTTATATAGAAAATTGTATTCCTAATTCTCGGCAACATTTATCAACCAAAAACTTGCCGATTGGACTGATACAACTCATTTAACAAGCGCTTGAATGAGCGTTAGGGGACATCTCTCCGGCGAATCTCTCATTTGGCCGCTCCATTAAAAATTGTTGAGAAAAGCTTTTCAATATTTCTTCGATGCAAAAATAGCGTTTAACCTCACTTGATAACATTGAGAATCACACTTAAATGTGTTGGCTGAACTGGCAAAACCAAAATTGAAGTTCATGTCAAGCTAGGGGGCATCTCTCCGGCGAATCTCTCATTTAGCCGCTCCATTAAAAATTCTCTATTAAAGTTCAGAAAAGCTTTTCAATATTTCTTCGATGCAAAAATAGAATTTCAATAAAATAATGTTCTAAAAGCCGGTCTTCTTTGATTATTTGTGCGTGGAGGGGAAAGTCCATTGATTAGCGTCAATTTCGGAGTGATTTTCTTGCTAGTGCCTGGAAAAGTCCCCATTTGTTCTCAAAAAAAGCTAAAAATCTCACTTTCCAAATCAACTCTTCCAAAAGTGATCTTTTTTAGAGCAAAATATCGATAGGATTTCGTGGATAGAACGATGAAAATCGAGGAGACAATGTTGTGGAGGGCGAAAGTGATCGTCGAGATTGTCCCTAGAATTTTTCAAGATTACGGTAGGCTCAGAAGTACTGTAGCTTTAAGAGTACATAAATGTTCAAGAGTACGATAGCTTTAAAGCTTTAACGATAGCTTTAACGATAGCTTTAAAGCTTAGGTATACTGTAGGAAGTGGTGGAGTTTGTAGGCAAAAGAAATTGTAAATATACCCTTTCTATTGCACTTAAATCTTAGTTCTTCTGTAAACACTATCGAGAAGAGTACGGTTATCGCTTTATGAATACGGTAGCTTTTAAGGAGTACGGTAGCTTTATGGTTGGGAATACTGTAGCTTTAAGAGTACGTAACTGTTCTGTACTTTAAGAGTACGTAACAGTACAGTAGTTTACGGCTTAATTACTGTAGCTTTAAGTGTACGTAAACTTTCAGGAGTACGGTAACTGTGTGAGCAAACGTTTCACCAAAGAAATGCTGGGCTACAGTAGCGCAAAGTTCGCCTAACAGTCGCCGTACTCTCATAAACGAACTCCTTCTGGCAAATTGACTAGAGAAATGATCATTTGCTTTTGCTAGAGCACAAAGTACATGGTAGGTAAAATGTGTACTTTGTGCTCAAAGGGTAAACCTTGTCTGCTGCATTGAGCTCTATTTTCTCCTATTGCGAGAAATCTAAAGAAATGAGTGAACTAGAAAGCTGCGTTTGCGAGAGTAGGAATACTGTAGCTCTAAGAACACGTAGCTGTAGAACTAGCTAACTACAGAACTATTGGTATCTTTACGGCTAGGAATACTGTAGCTTTAAGAGTACATAGCTGTTCGGAAGTACGGTAGTTTACGGCTAGGAATACTGTAGCTTTAAGAGTACATAACTGTTCGGAAGTACGGTAGTTTACGGCTAGGAATACTGTAGCTTTAAGAGTACATAACTGTTCGGAAGTACGGTAGTTTACGGCTAGGAATACTGTAGCTTTAAGAGTACATAACTGTTCGGAAGTACGGTAGTTTACGGCTAGGAATACTGTAGCTTTAAGAGTACATAACTGTTCGGAAGTACGGTAGTTTACGGCTAGGAATACTGTAGCTTTAAGAGTACATAACTGTTCGGAAGTACGGTAGTTTACGGCTAGGAATACTGTAGCTTTAAGAGTACATAACTGTTCAGAAGTACAGTAGTTTACGGCTTAAACACTCTAGCTTTTAGAGTACGTAAGTACTTCTTAAAGTAGTTCAGGAGTATTTTCCCGTCGCTACTTTCCGGTATTGCGAGAAATCTAAAGAAATGAGTGCACTAGAAAGCTGCGTTTACGAGAGTAGGAATACTGTAGCTCTAAGAACACGTAGCTGTAAAGCTATTGGTAGCTTTATGGCTAGGAATAGCGTTACGAGAGTACAAAGTACAAGTTTCTATCACAAATCTCACAAGCTTCATTGTAGTTGTTATCATGAAATTTGATGATCAACGTTAGCATTGGTAAAATGATTAAAACGAGAAAGACCAAGGCCTGAAAGTGTATAATATAGTTGGAAAATAAAGCAATCAAATTTCCACCTGTAATCCCATTGAAATGAGTAGAGTATGCGACAAATCGCGTACTTTTTTCGTCATTGTTTTTCGGGTTTTAAGCGAGAAATGACTGTGAACGATCAAGAAAAGAAGAACGATGAAACCGCAAATTAAACCGCATCTAAA